TTAGACGCTATACAATCATCTACCGTTTTTCAAATTCACAAGAAAAATATTAATTGCACTCCGCTTTTTGTTAACCACGCTCTTACTATGAAAATGATATGATAAAAATAATAATAGAAATACAATTAAGTAATAAAATGTGGAGTGCGATTAATAATTCATCACACAATAACTAGTAACTTTTATCAAATAGTCATAGGAGTAGTTGCCATGTTGACATTAGTTGTCTTGCTGCGGATATATTACGAGTATTACAGGGAGAACCAAAGGAACGAAATTCTTATCAAGACTGGATATGGGATTACTTGCCCCTCCAATTTCAAGTTGTTTAAAACGCTTGCATATAATTATGAAAAAAAAATGATCTTTCTGGATTCAAAGAACAATGGGCTTCGAGTGAACAAATATTTGGTTTTCAGTTGATGAAATATTCCTTAGTATAGCCTTTATCTGATCAGTGATAACGTCATAATATTGACAAAAGATCATGAGTAAAAGTTGAAGATCCTTTTTTGTTAGATAAAACAATAATCTAAATAGACTTTACAAAGCTCTCTCTCTTCTCTCTCTAATGTAAGTGACTGGTGGTGCAATTCTTGTAAACAGATGCACCATCCATTTCATTGTTGGTAATTTGCCACATCCATCTTGTTCTGAGAAGGAAAAAAAAGAGAAAACCAAACTGTTTTTTGCCCCAATCTAGGGTAGGTGACCAAAAGGAATTTTCCTTTAAAGAAAAAAAAAAAAAAGAAAAACAGGATGTCGAATTTAATTAGGTTGAGGTTGTGGGCACCTGTTTCTTCTGTGTTTATTCATTCATGCAATATTTCTTCTGGGTGAGAAGCTAACCAGATTCAATAGTGTGTTTTATTAGCACCACAGGTCTTAATATTTTGACTTGAAAACTCAATGTTGCTGTGAATTGGTATTTTTAGGTTGGGTTTTAAAAAAGCCTTAATGATTATGAATGCATACCAACTGCTTTTTTGCCATTATTATGAACAACGTTAAAAACCAATCACCTCTCTTTGGAATTTGCAAATTAAAGAAACTGGATAGGAAGTCAACAAAAGTATATTATGTTATTTTGTAGGAACCTTCTTTACAAAGGCGAGAGGGATGCCTGCTTTTTTATTGTTTATTTCTGGCCAAAGCAAAGGTCTAAGATGCCATGTTACATGGTCTTAGAACTTAGAAGGTCGTTATGCTGTTTGGTTCTGAAATTAAGGCCTACTTTATTTTGATTGGCTTAAATTTAGTCACCATGTTTCGTGAGAGTTACCAAATTCTTAATAGTTGTTTGGGGTTAATTACACTGTGTCCCCTTGAACCTGGCTCTTGTAACACTTTGTCCCCCTAAATTTCAAATATATACACTTTATCCTAAGTAGCCAACTTTTTTGGCCGGGTTAAAATAAAGTTATATTTTTTATGACCAAAATATCCCTAGCTAATTCTTAAACACACATAATAATTGTAACGTAATAAATACCTGTTTCTTTAATAGTTGCTAAATGCATCTAAACACAATTATGCTATGTATTTCGATCGTTTAAAACTAAAATGAATTAGAAGATTCGCAAAAAAAGAAGTCTAAACAACTCAATGTAGTTATCTCAATGCCAATAGCAATACTTATTTTAAATAAAATAAAATTAGTAGTGCATGTCAAATGACAATTATTTGCTTATATATTTTTTTATTGTAGCACTTTTAAATTTGTTTTATATGAGATAAAAATCTGATTACAAATAAAAATGTATTGAAAAACATATTTAGAGAATTTTTAGTTTTTTTAAAAGCATAGAATTCAAACAAAATACGAAGCAAGGTATGAATGTGGTATAAAATTATAAAATAGCATCTTATTGACTTGTGAAAATCTTGTGAAAGTTGCAAGATAAATGAAAATTATCAAAACCAATCTGTTTCCAATTTAAAGGAAGAAAGACAAGCGATGGAAAACTTGTGCAGATGTTTTAAAACTTTTAAATTCTTTTTTCTCCACAATATAAATTTTCAAATCTTTGGTATTATTCCATCTTTTATTTTTTTAATTTTTTTAAATCACGTGACTTCGCGTTTTTTTTAATAAGATGTTTCATATTATGATTAAAAGTATAGCATTATTCGAGAACTAATATGTATGGGCATTAATGTTATTTTGTTAAAATTTTGGTTGGAGAATTTATGATTAATGTTTGACTAGTCAATGAAGGGGGGTAAAGTCTATATATTTAAAGTTTAAGGGAGCAAAGTGTTATAAAGGGTCAAATTCAAGGGAGAAAACTATAATTAACCCTTGTTGTTTTTTCACGCATCTTCCCGATTATTGATATGCTTCTTTCTACCTATTACCCTTTAAACTTGGTTTTCAACCAAGTATTTATTTAGATTGGATTAAATTTATTCATTATGTTTCTTAATAGTTGTTTTTTTCACTCATTCTTGATATGTTCTTTTTGCCTATTACCTTTTAAACTCGGTTTTCAATCGAGAATTTATTTAGATTGGCTTAAATTCACTCACTATTTTTCATGAGAATTATGAAATTCTTAATGGTGTTTTTCCACTCATTTTCCCGATTCTTAAACTTGGTTTCAACAAAGTAATTTGCAGTAAAATGCTCAGTCGGTGAGGGAGTCCAAATTTCTATAGATTTCAGGATCTAGATACAAATGTTATATCATTTTGTTGCTCAAATGAAAATTCAAAATAAAGAAGAACTCGATGAACCCAAATTGGATCAAGAATAATTCTCTGCGAACTAATCTTCAAGAACATTTACAACGTGCACGTACAATGTGAACTAATTTTCTATGTAATGCCTAAAGAACAGAAGGACTTGGAGACATGATATTTATAAAGAAAAATGTCACTTACAGCTAGAGGTATCAAAATGAGTAATTTGAGCGGGTTAAACGGATTAAAATGGATAATGGGTTTAAGTGACTCAACACATTTATACTCATCTAATTAAATGAGTATAAATGGATAAATCAAAAAATGATTTGGGTAATCCAATTATCTATTTATTTTAACTTTTTGTAAACTCATTTAAATTCATTTTTGCAAACTAAATTATCAATTTATACAGCATCTCTCTCTCTTCTTGAGAGCTCCTCTCTCTAAAAATTAGAGTCCTTCCTCTTCACTTGAGAGTTCTGGCTCCTCTTACAATAGGAGAGTCAAACACTAGTTTGAGCCATTGTCCCGATCTTGCCCATTTGTTCACTGTCTTTCTCATCTTTTTATTTGCTCATGTTTTTTAAAGCTGATTGTTTAGATCTTGAAGCTTTAAGCTTTCATAGTTCTAATATATAAAAAAAAAAAATCAGTTGATAAGCGTTTTTTTTTCCTGAGCACATCTGGTTCTTATTTACTGTTTTTCTAACTCTTAATTTCCTCTTCTTGTCCAGAACTAGAGTACTGGAGTCATCTGGGTTTTGTTCTGGAATGCCCTCAAAGTGATCTCGGCCATGGCGAATGAACTTGCTTTCGTATTGGAAAAATTTGAATTATCAAACAAGGAGTACGAGGGAGTGGAAGTGGACAGTGAAGATGCAGAGGATGGAAGGGAAGAATGCAGGAAGTGTTTAGTTGGTAAAGTTATGGGAGAAAGATCAGCCAACTTTACGGGGATCAAGAACTTTGTGAATCACATGTGGGGCTTTCCCAGGAACATGATTGCAACGGATGTAGGATTTAATCTGTATCAATTTACCTTCTCAGACCAAAAGGATATTGACAGAATCATAGCGGGAAGACCTTATGTCATTGACAACCAACTTCTCAATATAAAGCAGTGGGAAGAAGATATTGATCACAACCCTGATGCCTTTAATCTCTCACATATGTGGATACAAATTTGGAATATGCCGATTCACTGGCTAACCAAGGAAATTGGAAGGGTCTTTAACAAAGTTGAAGACGTGATCATCCCAGGGGGAGAAAGCAAGGAAGGGAGACATCTCAGAATCAAAGCTGAGGTGGATATCATAGCTAAGAGGAACTGCAGCAAAAATGAATGGGGTGTCAAAATGGGTTGAGTTTAGGTATGAAAAATCCCCGGATTTTTGTTACTCATGTGGAATCATTGGACATAGTGACAAATCATGCAAGCTCAAAAAGGAAAACCAGGCTGTTACAGGAAAGCAACAATATGGGCCGTGGATGAGAACTCAGGTCATGAGACTTTCACCGAAGAAAAAGGTGGATCCCAAACCAATCCCAAAGGCTATAGGAAAAATCCCAAAAAATTCAACCGCTCATAGGCTGCCCTTTGAAGGTGAATACATAATCAACCCTCACAAAAGAATGGAGATGCAGGAAGAAAGAAACTACCATCAGGGACATTCAGACAAGAGGCCAGGTGAGAGAAGTGGCGGGACAAATGACGCGAGAGTTCAAACTCAAATTTCAAAAGCAACTAAAGACAGTGGGCCACCCTTGAACACGGCCCACAACAAAAGTTTGATTCTGAATATTAAGCCACAAAAGAAAATAACCCAACAAAAAGTGGATGGACAGGAAATGACCGAAGGTCAAATCAAGAAACTGATGGAGGAGCCCAAGGGGGCTTCTGAGGAAAAGGCTGTAAGGATGACTGTGGCCAAAGATGTTGAAAAAACAGAGGTATCGGATCCAGCTAAAGTCATGGCATGCTCAATGGAACTGGAAATGGAAACTCCAGACAATAGCTATTCACAGAAGAAGGAAAACGAAGGAAATAAGAAAGTTAGCAAGATGAGAGAGGTCAAAATCAGAAGAAGGAATAACAGCAACATGATGAACAGGGAACCACTAATGGAAATCTGCCAGAATGGGTGTTCGGTGATAGAGGAAGTGGGTGGAAAAAGGAAAATGTCCCCGCCAATGGAAGTGGATATGATGAAAGAGGAGGAGATGAACCCAAAAAGAAGCAAAAATGAAGGTGAAACGGAAATGCAAAATGAGCTGAAGGTGATGGAGACCAGCCTGGAGTGGTCTCCCGGTGCAATATGAAAGTCCTGGCGTGGAACTGCCAAGGTGCCGGGAGCTCCTTGACGGTTCCCAGTCTCAAGGAGGTTTGTAACCTTCACTCCCCAAATCTGGTGTTTCTTAGTGAAACTAAAAATCAAAAAAACATCATGGAAAAAATCAAAAAAAAGAGTCAACTATGATAATATTTTTGTGGTTAACCCGATTGGTAGGGCAGGTGGTTTAGCTATCTTTTGGAACAAAGAACTAAAGATTGATAAAATTTTGTTTACGGATTTCACCATTGAGGTTAAGATTACTGCTAATTAGGAATCAGACAGCTAGTGGTGTATATGTACATATGCAAACTCAGTGACATCTATTGGGCAGAAACAGTGGGAAATCTTATCTGAGAGAAGAAGGTTGTGGAACAATAAAATTGTGCTCATTGGTGATTTTACCGATATAGTTTTCAATGATGAAAAGTGGGGTGGTAAGACAAGAGAAAGTTGGTCTTTTAGTAAGTTCAAGAATTTCATTGCCAGAAATGAGCTCGTTGACCTTGGCTTTGAAGGTTTGCCTTGGACCTGGAACAATAATTGGAGCTCTGGGAAAAAAATAAAGGAGAGATTAGATAGAGCTCTAACAAGTGTAGAGTGGTGCAGGAACAATAGTGAAGCAAATTTGATGCACATACAAACTGTTGCTTCTGACCATGATATGCTGCTAATGGATACCAGACCAGTAACGAAAAGATGGAGAAGACGGTTTCAATTTGATGCAAGATGGTTGCAGTATCCTAAAGTAGAAAATGTGGTGGATTCTGCATGGGAGAAACAACAATTGGGATCCAGAGGATACCGAATAACTAGGAAAATTAAGGAATGCAGACTAGCACTCAAGGTGTGGAACAAGGGACTTCAATCAAATAGTAAAGCCAACATTCAGGCTATCAAAGACCTAATTGAGAAGGCACAGGAAAGCAATGCACAGAACAAACAATCTCTGATTATGGACCTCAAAAGGAAATTGAGTGCTGAGTATGCTAAGGAAGAAGCATTTTGGGCCCAAAAATCTAGATGCAAATGGCTAAAAGAGGGGGACAAAAACACAGCTTACTTTCATATGAGAGTTGCCAGTAGAAGAAGGAGAAATAGGATATCCAGATTGGAGAAGGAACAAGGTGGCTAGTGTGAAACAGATGAGGAGATAGGTGAAGAAGTGGCAAGATACTACCAGGAATTGTTAAAAAGCTCATGGCCCACAAATTTCGATGAGATCCTTCAGGGTATTCCTAGAACAATTACAGAACAGATGAACCTTCAGATCACTAGACCTGTAACAGAGAAGGAAATTAAGCTGGCTTTATTTTCCATGCATCACAATAAAGCCCCTAGACTAGATGGTATGTCTCCCTTATTTTTTTCAAAGATTCTGGGGTATCATTAAAAAGAACCTAGTGAAGACTATCAAGAGTTACTTTCAGCTGGGCCATATGTGCAAAGCTCTGAATGAAACTTTAGTCACACTAATTCCTAAGATTGATACGCCATTGAATCTTTCTCAATATAGGCCAATCAGCTTATGCAATGTTGTTTATAAAATTATTTCCAAAGTTCTTGTAAATAGAATGAAGCCTTTTTTGAATGATTGCATAAGTAGTGGTCAAGCTGCTTTTGTATCAGGGAGACAAATTTTGGATAATGTTATGATAGCACATGAATACATTCATTGGCTTAATCATAGTAGGGCAAGAAAGAGGGATATAAGGCTCTTAAACTAGACATGTCAAAAGCCTATGATAGAGTAGAATGGAAGTTTTTGCTTTGTGTCCTTAGTAAAATGGGGTTCTGCCCCTTGTGGATTAATTGGATCAAAGGGTGCATATCTTCCTATTCCTACTCTTTTAATATCAATGGGAACAAAACAGGCTATGTATGTCCTTCTAGAGGCATTAGGCAGGGGGATCCACTGTCCCCATATTTGTTTCTTTTCTGTGCTCAAGACCTTGCAAATCTTTTGACATCTGCTTGCAGGAACAATCTGTTAACAGGAATTAAAATCTCCAGGAATGGCCCTGCCATCTCCCACTTGTTTTTCGCAGATGATTCGTTAATTTTTTGTAAAGCTAACTCTAAGAAGGCAAGTGAGATCACCAGAATTTTTCAAATCTATGAACTAGCTTCAGGGCAAAAGATCAACATTGAGAAATCAGCAGTTCTTTTCAGCAGAAACACCTCCCAAGCAAATAAGCAAGATGTCCTCCAAACTCTTGGTAACATCCAGCATGTTTCTCAGGCAAAGTATCTGGGTCTCCCTATGGTTATAAGAAGATCTAAAAACAGCACATTCAGGTTCCTGAAAGACAAGATGACTAGCAAGCTGCAAGGATGGAAGGGAAAGATGCTAAGTAATGCGGGCAAGGAGGTTCTTCTCAAATCCATGGCATTAGCTCTACCATCGTATACCATGTCAGTTTTCAAGCTTTTAGATGGACTATGCAAAGCATTAAGTAGCATGATAGCGAAGTTTTGGTGGGAAAATGACCAAGGCGAGAAGAAAATGCACTGGAAAAAATGGTGGGACCTGACAGAAATCAAAGGTAAAGGAAGACTTGGATTTCGTGATATAAAGTGCTTCAATGAAGCCTTACTTGCCAAGCAAGCATGGAGACTACTAACAAAACCTGAGTTGCTGGTTAGTAAGGTAATGAAATGGAAATATTTTTCGAACTCCTCTATCTTGCAGGCCAAAGCAAAGTCAGGTTCCTCATTGATATGGCAGAGCATTCAAAGTGCAGTCCTTTTGCTAGAAGATGGAATTAGGAGACAGATAGGGAATGGTAGATCAACTGCAATTTGGAAGGATAGATGGATTCCCAATGGTATGAATGGACTAATAAGATCAGCTAGACCTCAAAATTGCAACAGATAAAGTCTGTGAGTTGATCAGTAACAAGAGATGGAACATCAATCTTATTCAGTCCATTTTCTCAAGAGAAGAGGCGGAACAAATACTAATGATCTCTCTCAGTATCCAAGAAAAGCAGGACAGGTTCGTTTGGAGGCATAACAGTAGTGGAGATTACACCACCAAGTCAGGATATGCTCAAGCCAGATTGAAATTGAGCAAAAAGGCCAATAAGATGCAACCAAATGAGGGATCCAACGCAAGGAAGAATGATCCTACACTATGGCATCAAGTCTAGGATCTAAACATAAAACATAAACTAAAGCACTTCCTATGGAAATGTCTTCATAACATCCTGCCTACAAATGAAGAAGTGCATAGAAGAACTTGTAAAGGGGATAAGTGGTGCAAATGCTGTGGTGAAGAGGTAGAAACATTAGAGCATCTTTTTTTCAACTGTAAAGCTAGAGAAGAGGCTTGGAAGACATTCCCTATCAAATGGGACGGTATTCAAGAAAGCTCGTGGAATTTCTGGAAGTGGTGGGAAGCATTGCAAGGTGCTAGATGCAGAGTTAACGACATCAGTCACATAGAAGCCACTACAAATTTCTTGTGGCAATTGTGGAAAGCAAGGAATGCCTGCAATTTCAACAAGGAAAGCACAAAAGGTAACCTGATCTCAAGTAGAGCTCTAGAAGAATGGCTAGAGTACAAACAGATGTGGGACTTGGAGAAAAGGGAAAGCAAAAAGGATGATCCAGAAGTACCAACAATGACCATCACAAAAGAACTTCAGGATCAACATGTCATTCTAATGTTCACGGATGCAACAATGGACAAAAAGAGAAGTAGAGGGGGATTGGGCATCGCGGCAAAAGACCATAATGGAAAACTTGTCAAAACATGGGCAATCCCTACTGGAATGATGAAGGATGCTGCCATACTAGAAGTAGAAGCAATCAGATCAGCCATGCTCAAAGCTCTGGAAGAAGGGTGGACATCTCTACTCATACATTCAGATTGTAAGTGTCTAGTGGATAGATTTAATCACAGATATATTGGGTTATCTCTGTTAGATGTGTTGGTAGATGATATCGTACATCTTAGTCGATCCTTTTGACGATGTTCCTTCATATTTATTGGAAGGGAATATAATCGCACTAGTCATGGTTTGACAAAATTTGCCATCAACCTAATTGATGAAACAAGGTGGGAGCTAGACTTCCCTGTGTGGCTTAGGATTGAAGCCCACAAATATGTCCTGGCCGTGTGCCAGTAGTTTGTATATGCTAGGAATATTGTAACGTTTCTCACATATATATTAAATGATGACATTTTGACCAAAAAAAATCAATTGATACCACCCTTTGCACACATCATTAATTTTAAATATTTATTTATAATGCTCAATAAGTCTAATTATCAATTTTTTCCCATCTATGCTCTATGTCGCAAAATTACCCACTATTTAATAATTGAATAATAAGAATATAAAAATTTGAACTAAGTACTATAAAAGTTAACATAAAAATTTAATCCAAAAATTTTGAACCTCTAACATTTTCTCGTGTATAAATTTAAATTTTCATTTTTAAAAGGTAGGAAAAGAGGCTAAAACTTGTCATAAATTGGTAATGCTGAAAAATGAACAAATTAACAAACTAAGAGAAAATAAAATGATAAAATAAAACCAACAAATAGTAATAATAATAAAATAAAAGTAGTTAATATCATGACAAAATAAAAAACTTTTAAAAAAAAATTACAAAGGTTATGTATCTGCGTAAAAAATGCATCAGATGTTTGTTAAGGTTGAAAAATAAAACATTCCATTATATACAAAGCTTGAACAATATTAATGCATGAAAGTCTCCAACAATGAGTTCAATAATCCAGCGCAGGCCTTAAATTCTTCTAAATGGATGCGAGAAAAGAAGAGACTTGAAAAAGACAATTTTAAATGGATTAACTGGATTTAGTAAGTTACCCAATAATATCCAATAAATGGATATTATTGAGTAATCCATTTATACTGTTTGGAAAAAAAAAAATTTATACCCATATGCAAAAATTTAAGATATTCATATCCATCTATTCTTGAGTAGATATAAGTAAACTTAGTTAAATAAATTTATTTGCCACCTATACTTGTACCATTTGAAATCTTTTGAAACATTCATATTCACAAAAAACAAAAGAATTTCAGAGCTGTGCTCAATTGTCTTGGGAATGGAATTTATATTTTTGATGCTTTTGAAATGAAATTTTAAAACCATTTAGAAAGATTACAAAGTTGGAATAAACAGGATTCTTTAAGCTCAATGAATTATAGGACATCAAGAATCGAATCCATTCGGTGCTTTGAATAATAAAACACTAATCGCACCATTTTTCTCAAGTTTTAACAGCAAAAAAACTGACTCCTAAGTCCCATCCAATTTGTCAAAAGTCGACACTAGCAGTCTACCAGATGCAACCAACCATTGACCGCAAGTATGACAATAAGTTTATGAATTGTCATTAGCATATAGGACAAGTCAAATGTCCGTCCTAAGTTCTGTATTAACCTTTACTCCATCAAATTTCACTTGCAACAGTTTCCGCCCCTCATATTTCGGTTTCAAATTTTGCCTTTGACCCCGGACCATGGTAGGGAACCAGGAAAAGGAAAGGGGTGGGCTGCTGTGGAAAGAATGTCCATTTTGTGAGAGACGAGGTCATCAAAATTTCGCACTTATATACCATCCGAGATGTCGAGATCATCAAAAGATTAAGCTAAGACTGAATATAAAGACAAAAACTATATACAAGGTTTCAAAAGAGAAACGCGGGCTAACAAAACAAGTCAACAATTCTACCTGTACAAGCAATGCAATGATACCGACCCCAGGCAGGGCACTAGAAGCCTGATCCCAAACTTGCACCGGTACCAAAGGTTCCTATTTGAACCCCCCAACGAAATCCCAAACTTCAGTAACAAAACTCCCATGTATGTCACTACCGCACAGAAGACTCAGCTGTTTGTCAACACCTTTCGAAGATCTTGTAAAGTTTCTCAAGTGAAGCAACCTAAAGAAAATAGGAAGCAAACAACACCATCGGTAAACAAAGATGGGATGCATGCATTTGTCTCTGTGCATGTACATGTATGTGTGAGAGAGAGAGATAGAAAGGGAGTATGAGCTTCTGTATGTGAAAGTAAAGTACAAACAAGTGCAGAAGAGCATCAAAAAGAATGTTGTTTCAAACATAAAAAGCCTTTGAAGCGAACGAGATAGAATCAAATTTAGTACCCGTACAAAAGTTCCATTTGAAGCCATTGAAGTCAGCGGCTTAAAAAACAGTCTCATGGATGGAAATAAAATGTGTTGTATTGACCATTCACGATGAGCCCAAGCATTCTCAGCATCTGCAAGTAGCTCATCATCATATTCTGATTCCACGGCAGCATCATCTGCACAACAATACCATTTTCTTTTGAGATACATAAGTGGCCTCTTTAAATTTATGCAGGGTGATTTTGTTGATAGACCTCTTTAAACATGATTAAAACGATGGGAAGTGCAAAGCAGGAAGGAAGAATGGAGCGTGTGAGAAACGAGCTTTGTCCCAAATTTATTAAAAAAAAAAAAGAAAGAAGCACACTTCCACGGGGCTATATGTTATATTTTTGTTGTCTTAACAGCTTATTATTATAAATCTCATATCTTCATCTTCTATATCATTTGGTTGAAGGGGCAAAACGGGGGAGGGGTCATGTTTGGTTCTTTATGAACTAGTACAAATCATCAGTTTTTTTCCAAACTGCCAGGACTCCATACAAAATAAATCTGCTAAACTGATCATACCTGCATCTTTCGAGGATCCTCCTCCTGCTTGATGACAGTTTGAAGAAACTCTTCTTTTGTAAAACTGCAGTCCTTCACCCGATGGATTAGGCAACAAAGGAGGATGCATGGCATAGAAGTTCCCAAGAGCAGCAGCAATTGTTTGGAAACATATTTTCTCATCATCCCAGTCAACCTACAATATTAACCAAAGTGAAGTTCAACTTTAGTTAATTGAAGAAAATGTGGACTGGCAGATAATACGTGGCTTGTAAAGAAAGAAAACAAAGAAAAGAAAAGAGCAATTAGCTGATCTCATAAAATGCTAAATTTTATCCTTAAATAGAACCTTAATTTGACATCATTTCATCATAACTTAGTCAAATAATTGTTATAGATAGATACTGATATCATATGGCCAAAGCACATCAACAAAGGACCAATAACAGTTCATCAATTACCTGTCTCTTTAGCTTGCGGAAAAGGGAGTAAGGTGAATTTAATTGTTGGAATATAAGATACCTAATTGGTTGGGCAAGGAAAGGGGCATTGCAGTGTACTTATCTTTCCGTTGACTGGTGCTGTTTCGCTGCAAGGCAGACTGGCTAAATGTTTTTATATTGTAGGTTGTCTTATGTATGGCTTATGTTATGATATGGTGCAGAAGGACTTTCGATTGCTATATTGCAGTCTCCTTTCATGTGTCATTCACCTGATGCGTGAAAGATTTTTAACTGATTGACCTACAAAAATATCCATTAGTTTGCAGAACCCCGTTACAACATTCTTCAGACTTGATTGATCGCATTATTGCCACATTAATTACACACGGTCTTCTGACAAAAGCCTAAAAATTTGAAAAATTAAAAACCAAAATTGTCATAACACAGGTCAGGTGCCAATACATATCACGATTACCGTACTTTACGTAATCCTTCAAAATCCAAATATTTCCTGATAATAAATATCTGTGCTTTACATAATGAGTAAAACCTTAGCCACATGCGCACAGTAGCCAAAAAATTGCACTTTTAAGGTAGAAGTTCTGCAACATATAGTCCTCCAACCTAAAAGATAGCTTTGGTAGATTAGAAGAACATTTGGTGTTTTATGCGACTGAGATCGATTCTTTTTCTGTTGCAGTGATTCATGCCCCCACCACCCCCCCCCCCTTCTCCCATAAAAAAAAAAAAGCACCCAACAGACAAATGCGGACACACACATACACATGGATGCAAAGATAGAGGAGAGATCAATGACTTAGAACTTACGTCATTTCCCAAACAAAGCACAAATTCAGGGACACGGTCCATGTCAGGCGTGTACTGATCTAGTATGACGGGAAGCCTAGACAAGTTACCATTTGTGTCAATATGAATGCCGAAATACTCCTGTAGCATTTCAGCTTTTTGCTTGAGCAACTGGATATTCATCTGAAATATTCAAACAAAAAAGCCAACGTAGTTCAATAACTGCTTTCCATCAAAGAAAATCAAAGCACCAGAGAAGTCAAAATACATATTGAATAGACATATCCATTTGCAGATCGGAAAAGATTAAGAAGCACATGGGATCTGCTCAGGCACTAGAGAAGAACCAAAATATATGTTGTATATATATCCATTTGTCAATCACAAAAGATGTACAAGAACATGGTATCTGCTTCAGCAGTCAGGAACCAAAGTGTGCAATGTGATGATTGTCTCAACTTAATGTTAAGTGACTGCCTGGGCAGCACTTCTGTTTTCTCATCCATGCTAGTATAATACCCCGTCCCCCCCCCCCGGGGGCCGCCGCCGAAAACAAAAAAAAAACCCAAAAAAATTGTTTTCAGTTTGTCTCAAGATACACTATCCAGGCCTTGAAGCAATGGTAAGTTCAAGCACTGCCAAAAATTATAGATAGATGTCCACAGATAAGAAAAAAAATAAGAAAATGTATTCTCTGTAGTGTAATAAATAAAGTGAATAGATGGATAAAGAAATAGTCAATTCCATCATTCCTATAATGACTTTGTAAATGGAGAGATCTTCACTATACATCAGAGATCTTCATTTAATGGATGTCATTGGTAACTTCTATACTTGACTCTCCTTGGATTTACCAAGATGTCCACAAACAAATTTAAAATACATGTTTCCTGAGTCAGCATTTTGTTTCTCTTAGTCTTCATAACATCCTTTTTCTCGTTAGGTTTTGGATAAGTAAATTATTTTTTCTGAAAGATTGCCTCTGTATAACATTTTCTAACATGAATATCTGCGAAAAAGACCAGATGCAAGAAACCAAAAAATACTAAGCAACTTCATGAGCATGAATCAGTCAGGATTTAAATTCCACAATATAAACTAAGTGTGCCATGTGTAGAAATTATACATTCTATACCTTCCAAAACCTATTATCTCTATCACAACAGAATCTACCATGTTGCTTATACAGATCTAGATTTGTCAAAAATACCTAAAAAATTCCAATCCATCAACTAGGAAAGGATCAGAGTTCAGAACTTTGGAAACAGGCTCGAAAAGAAAGACACAAGAATTACTTTTTGACCCAGATCTAGAGTTTATAATTTGCCAGAACCCTTCAAGAGTGGAAACAATCAAAGGCTGGCTCTTTACCTTTTAAATGACACTAGAGCAGACTAATCTACTCTCTCATATCACGACTTTTTCTTTCAATATAAAAAATGGCATAGTATTAGCCACAATTTCCTAATGAAACCATGCCAAGGTTTTATGACAGTTTGAAGCAACTCTATTCCCCACAAAATTTAGCATACTCAGATTCCCTCAATTGGATCATGTGTCATCACTCTCAACTGAAACAATGCTAATGTTCCTCAACAGCAGTCAAAGCCCCAGCCTCATGGATCAAATCAAGTGTATCCATCATCATTACAGTGAAGAGACAAAGCCAGAGTGTCAAGCAATCCACAAAGGAATCAATGAGCATATATAAGCAAATCAGAAAAGGAGTTCCAAATAAATCACAAGAAAAATTAGAAAAGTGAGTATTCTGCACAAAAAGACACTTGATTACTTTGTGTATAATCTGCTGATAAACAACTCAACAAGATTGTTTTGCAAAACTAGGTACACAGAACAATTTTGTTTTTATGCCAAGTGCCTGTAAGATGGAAGCGTCACCTTTTCCATTTCTAAAATTTTCAGTCTTGCCATTTGATAACGAAAAATAAAAAGGACATAGTTCTAACCAATATTACTTCACAGTTCACAGTGACAAATTTTCATTACTTCTATTCTAAAGATTACAAGATTTGCAGCAAAGACATCAATCTAGTCTCCAATACTACTGTGCAAAGTGTCAGCGACAGAGGAATCACTGAAGAATCATTTTCAAAATTTGAAACAGCAACATATGCAACAAACTATAGGCTAAATGGCCCTAAGCTACATGAATATATTATTTAGCAGTATAAGCATCATTAGCAACAATGAGGAGAAAAAAAACTATTTAATCTGATTAGCAGTATCAGTAACATGAGCAGTGAAATAGATGAGCAGAAATCGAAGGACAAATTTGTGCTGCACAATAAACTAAACTAATTAGAAACGGGATGCTTTAGTCATCAATTTAATTTGAATTAGGATAAACTTACTTCAGCAATCTTTTCTTTCAGATCATAGTTCTCTTCCCCTTCTGCATCTAAGTCCTCCTCTTTCAGAGCTAGCATTAAGAGATCAGCTAGAGGAGCCGGATCACTCAACTGTATTGCATTAAAATGGGCGAATCGTCGCAAGACTTGCTGATACATGAGTTCTTTGCTGTCAAAGGGTTGAAACCAAAAGAATGGATCAAGAGAACTGATTGATGGTGTAAAACTAGACTTGTAATGACACAAACAAGATGAGGAATTGATGTCAAGTTTTATTTCCTGTAAATAAATTGTTTATTCAAAAAATATATAAGTTACAGAGAAGTATTTCAAAAAGAACACCAAAAAGAAGCAAAAGTGTGAAAATAATCTGCTAGAAAAATTATGAAAGACAACACATATTCAGGCAAAAGTCACTTAGCAGTTCAAACATTTCTGACTTTGCAATTATCCATCTGTAATCATGAGTCATTTATTGTCATATAAGCATAACAATTAGAGTCAATTTGCCATCTCCATCTAAATCTTAACAACTTACCGAATAACTTGAGATTTGGATAAGTAATGGCACTAAACTATCTTGCACATTAGACTTTTGAGCAAAATCTACAAATAAATAGTGTGTGACTCTCAAACAAATAAAAAAGATATTTAAAATTTTTAACTCTGAACTGCTTTTGGCATGAAATCTACACGGAAGAAAATTGTTAGTTAGACGAAGTGTTTAACCTAATTTATTGATCAAGGTCTTAGGATTTGGATGTAGAAAATTTAAGTTGAAATTTTGCACTTTAAATAAAGTAGAAAAAGTTAATGCTCAAATGGCAAATTGTATATTAAAAACTACGGATATAGGTCGTAAAATAAAATCTCCTTTCTTGACCTAAGAGAAACAAAGGTTACGTGCAAGCATATCCTGTACTAGAAAAGGATTGTAACAGGAGGTCATGTTCTTGCCTGTTCCTTTGTTTGGTTTTCTTCGCTTGCTGAAAAGGTTAAACCACACTATTTGCAACTTTATGTTCCTCAAGTAGTAAACAAACACATAGGGACTTTGCCAACCCTTAAATCTTAAGGGTGGTGATTTCCCCATTTTCTTTAAATAGATGCACACAAACACACAGAGACAGACAGACAGACAGAGAGAATATCGTACACCAAAACATACAGGAAAACAAGGAAAAATAAAATTTTACCTCAAGTTAACAACATTTGCAAGATAAAGGTGAGTATTGTGCTGAATCAGTGCAAAAACCTCATCTGCCATCCCGATATATGTGCAGTTCCTAATAGTGTCCAGGAGACCTGCCAAATATTGTCGTCATTGGAAAGAACATGCCATTAGCCATATAAAGGAACGTCCAAGAACTAGCAACAAGAAGGAAACCTAATACCTGAGTGATAATTACTGTCAATAATGTTGACAAGCTCCTGAACACTTGTAAGATCAGCAGTTTCCCTAGGATTCCTCCTTTGTCTAATGGCAGACCTGCAATAACAACGGTCATATAAAGACAACGAAAAGAAGAAACAATGAAAAGAAACTTTTGTATTCTACTGTTCCATTTTCATGAACAACATAGTTTCTAAAAGATCAACATCGACACACATTTAAGAGGTGAAGAAAAAAAAGGTAAGAAAATGTCCAGAAAAACACACAACATATATGAAAAAAGAGATAATGGCTCTGGTGCAAGGAGAATAACCCCTACTAAAGCTAATTCCAAATCATTCTTAGAAAAGCAGCCTTAGGGAAAGCAGTAGAACGGCTTATCGTAAAGCCAACCAGGTCTCAAGCTAGGTTGAAACTTCAAAGACAAAAGAAGAAGAAAAAAATGAAAACTAAAAAAAAAATTAAAAAATTAGTATTGCATGGAACTTTTTAAAGAACATCACCGAGCCAGCTCCTTAGCTTCAGTTTTGGCACGGTTAGTGGGTGGCCATGGAAGAGAATGTTCTACCTTATAGAGGCCAAGGAACTTTTATCTGCCTGACTTGAAGGTGTTGCTTGCAAGTAAGCATGCAGCCTGCCAGCAGGATCTAGCGAATCTATGCGCACCATTTTATGTACTGGAACTTTTTCTGATTTTGGTGCTATGAGCAAAAAAAGACCAAAAAAGGATACTTCAAAAGCAGAATCAGAAATAGAAGAGGTGAAAAAAAGTAGATCCAATAACATTCACTTTCCAGCAGGAACAAATACATAACATACTCTGTGAACTAGGAGGAGTGGGATTCTTGGGGGAGTCTTTCTGTGTAGCCCGAAGACTAGATGTAGATGCATCCACTGTCTGCCTCATGTGTGAAATGAAGGGGAAAATATAAGCATTCCCAGAGAATAAATACATCAGAAAAGTTAAAATGCACGCCAACTTGTTACTCTACTCCATGCCATGCATTCTATGTAGCATGCTTCTTTCTGTTGATGTGTCCCGAAATGTTCACTCTCTTTGATAGAGCAAAATTGTACTGTTGGACTTCCTAATCTACCCTTCTAATTTCACTGTTAACATCCAGATATCCATTCTTTCACAATCTCCTGACGGAAACTAGAAATAGAAACATGAAGATATATAAAATTGACCAGATTTCAGCAAAAAGCATATATTACTAGTAGTATTACATAACCCAAGTTGTGATATAATTGTTCCAATTCCTAATGACATTGGTAAATCTTAAATTTATTCAAATCCAAAGGAATACTTTCTAATGTTAAAACTATCCTGGACCAAACTACCCTCAAAAAATCAAACTATGGGAGTCAAATAATTCGAAAGAAGTGAAACAGCAGAACTCTGCAGGCCCAGATTTAGCTACATGTCACAAAATTGACAAAAGTACTTGAAGTTGTTATACGTGCTTCCTGAGATGCATTTCCAGTGCAACAAACATCCATTCCCTCCCATGACTAAATACGAATTTATAACATGACAAAGGGTTTGGAAACTGAAATGTCAAATTTGTTTGCTGTTGTTGTTGTTTTTTCTTTTCTTTTCTTTTTTAATAATGTTTTATGCTACACCGCTGTACTGCTGATGCACTTAGAATAGAAGTTCTTCCTACCTTAGATCATAACCACAAATAGAAATCATAATTTCTGCCACCATCACGTACTGTTCTAAATTATTGAAGACCACAAATGTCACATAGGCTGATAAAATAACCAGGATATAATATCACATGAATTATATCAAAGATTTATATGAACCTTTCCAATTCTCCCATTAATAGATCCCTGGTTCAAATAGACAGTTCATAATCAGTCCTTTACACATTTCCAATCTGACAAAGAAAAAAGTGACAATAACCAAGTTAATAAAAAAGTTGAGAGGCGAAGTAGACTGAGAATAGTTCATTCATATTTTGAGAGCTTAGCAAAGATTGGCAAGCCCAAGTTGCATCATAAAACAAGCAGAACTAATAAGGTCAGCATTATCAGTTGTTTCTTCCCTGGTTGTATCTGTTTAGGAATCAACTGATTTAAGCAATCATCTGGAAATATATCCACGAGTAACTGAATAATTCCAGTGCAGGGTTTATTATGTTTGAAGCTTGGCTCCACGTGAAAATATGATTAGTTAATACAAGAGCAAAATCTATAGCTGGTTATGGGCTACTTTCAACTATCAAGTAAGACAAATCCACCACATAATCAAGCAAAACTTGGATGATATATAAAGGGCTGAAAAATAGAACGAAACCAAAAAATTATTGGCAAATTTAAAATCCTTTATATGATATTTGTGTGCAACTTTTATTTGTCAACTATTATTTATCCAGAGACAAATAGTCAGATAACTTATCATTGAAAAGTTCCCCACTATGCACAAGGCACTTATTAAGCCTAAGCGAGAAACTAGATGACAATGCATTTCCTTTCTGTTTTTGGAGTTCTTATAGTAACTGGAATTACCTGTTCTTGGAATGTCCTGCACTCATTAGAGTTCCTCAGTCTTGATTCAACTGTAGACTGTATCTTTTCAATGATTATTTCTTGATGTAAAAGACTTACCTGCATTGAAAATGAATTGCCTTATAATGTGAAAAAAAAAAAAAAAGATTTGATGGAGAGAGATCTGAAAGGATGAATTCCAATAGTAACAGACAATAAGAACAAGAAGAAAGAAAGCTTCATGGCAATACAGCAAAGAAAGCCAACCATAGAGAATGTGCATAATCTTATATATAACAAGCAAAAGGTTGCTTCTCCATACTCTGCTTATAAACTTCCAAGTTAAGCTAGTGCAAGCTAACAAAAATGTTAATTTTCACCTGATTTTTTTTTTTTTTGTTTTTAAAACATAATGGATTATCAATTGAATTATTTCAGATGTTGCTCCCTCAAAAAAATTAGCATTTTACAGACAAATGCGAATGTCCGCACAACATAACACCTAGACCTACTCGGAATACAAGTGGACAACAGAATTCAAGGAAATGAACAAATAACAAGTGGCAACAAAATGTAACCTTCGTTAACAAATTTGCTCTTTCAGAAGAAACTACATCAGGAACGTCATAAAGTTGTGCAGCCACTATAAGAATCAAAAGATGATTTCTTTAAATTGATCTTTTTCTCTTAAAAAGTAATAGGTGGACTGCTTTTGTGCCTTCTTCATTACAAATGAAAAGAGGACATATTGCTGACCATGAATGTAACCAACAAGAAATGAGAAAATAGCCGAGAAAGCAGAATGAAACTCCTTTTTGAAGGTGACTAAGAAACTTACTGATAAAAGACATTTTTTAGATGTTTTCCAGATCATAAAATTGTTATTGATGGATGCCATAATAAAAAGATTGCATAATAGCTGCATTTACTGTACAGGAAATTTAGGTCATCATAGCAAATCTCATAAACTTGTCCCCAGGATCTTGTACTCTCTAGCTCGTTCTCTAATTGTTTGAAAAAAATCTAAACTTACTACTTTCCTTTTCTTTCAAGTAACAGAGCTAAAAAATGGTAGAACATGCTCAAAAGCATCCAAAGAGTGGTGGAAACAACTTGCAGCATGACCAGACAACAGCCATGCACCAACCCTTTCGATGATCCAGAAGGGTTCGAGACTGACACGATATGGTTTCAAAGTGTTCAAAATTATGTGAGTTTGAGCATGCTAATCCAATTCAAATGATGTTAACTTCTTTTGACATGGATATTTTCTGATACTTAGTAAAATGATAAGTTGGAAAATCACTGTACACATCCTTCTCATGCTCACTAATATAGCTCTTTATTGACAACTATTGTCACTAAATCTGCAAAGTTAACTTAGCCAACACTTAAAACTGTATGTTGTGCAAGCCATCTTGTCATTCTTCAGAGGCAGCATTCTGAACTCCAGATAATCATTCATGAAGTAGAAAATAAAGAGAAAGAGAAGTTCTTCAGCAACAAGTTACGGCTTGTTAGCCAAAGGAATTTCCTACCATGCATATGACATTCTAAATTAGTAATCACATAATCTAGAAGGCTATATACTCCAGGACCCCAGATTTTTCATATAATAACTAAATTTAGATCATCAGAGAAAACAACTTCTATCTTGCAGCAAAAGCAATCAAGAAGAATCTGCAAGGAACCAAGTTAGTATTATGTCTTACCAATGAAGTTTAAGTGAATAAATATGTACCTCTCTCTTTGTCGGGTGTACATTCACATCAACATGCTCAGAAGGCAATATGATTGACATGTATATAAAAGGTTTTGATGCTTTAGGCAATGTAGCAGAATAAACAATTTCAACTGCCCTCTTTAGAGCACCACACTCCACCAGTCTATCTGGGAAGAAAGCAAACAAAGAAATAACCGAGGCTGTCAGAGCCCAAGATTGTAATGCTTTCCAATGGTTTTTCAATGACTTCTAAAGAGAAACAAAGGCAGAAATGTTTCTGGATGAATCAAAGTATTAAGAAAGTTATCCTACCAAGACAGGAAATTAAAACATGGGATACAGGTATGTTGTGGTTAACAGGTTGAAGTTTGAAATGTTATAACAAATCCTGTGAATTTGTTGATAAGAAAGTGCAAAACAACTAATACACGCCACCTGTAATAGTTGAAGACATGTTTGGACAGGTATGATGAGTAGGGATTGTCAGAGAAAGGTTTGGTAATCATGAAGGTAATTTTTTAATATGTGTTAATTGCCCTTTTTAATCAATTCACCCTATATTCCAATACTGTCAATCACATAATCAGGATCAGATAGCACAAGTATGATGTTTAATGGATCAGGTGCCCATTTACGTTAAGTCAGATAGGGATATTCTTTTCCCACAGGCAATAACAAAGGAATACATACTATTGATGAAAAGCACCATTGTTATCTTCTTTCCAATGTAGTTCGAATTTGAGATGAAACCTTCCATTTTGAAAACTGAACTAGATGACTCATCATCAAAAGCTTCTATTTTTATCAGATTCCTAGCAACAGAAACTCCATAAACAGATCTGATCGCATCAAGCCTAGAAGACGTTGCCACAGAGTGAACATCTGCTCTAGCAGCTCCATGCTGCATCAAGGATGTAATAGTGCAAGGTAAATACATCTTATTATCTTCAGAAAAAGGAAAAAAAGACAGTAAGAAAAACTACAAACTGCCAAAAGACTAACCTTTCTGCAAGAAAAGCTCACATTGATGTGATGAATAGCAAACCGACTCAGCAAATCCACAATTTTTGGATAGTCATCAGCTGAATTTTGAAGTGTTTTCCGACGAGCAATCATGTTATAAAATAAATTCTCAACCTGAGAGAGATACACGGAACATTGGACAAAAGAGTCTCATATTGCATGGATCATACTTAAAGTGCAACACACAATTTTCAATCATCTAGCTTTCTTCTCTCACAAAATTTTTCGTTGTGAAAATCAAGAAAGAGAGAAGCCAATACTTCATATTAAGTTATATATTATACTAAGTTCCAAAGTTGTCAATGTTTCCTTTTTGCATCAATATGGTTCCTAGTATATTCAAGTAACTGAGCAAGTCCAAAGAATAGGATATAACTGATTAGTTTCATATTCAAATTCATCATAGGAAGTATCAAATTTTTCCTCCCAAAGAAATACAGTTCCTCACACAATGAAACAATAGGAGAAACAAATCTGAAAAGTTCCTCATTTATAAGAACAAGTGGTAGATATTGGCTCCAAAATGATTATATCAGGATAATTTGCATATGCTTGCCTCCTTTAACTCTAGCTACTTGACCATAACATTACATTTTCATATTTGTTCTTTCACTTAGCTCAAGCAAACTAATTACAATGCCAAATTAAAAGTAGTGTGCTTGGGCAGTAAAGCATCTTAAAACTATGAAACCTACCATTATTTGAGTCCCCTTCACAGCTGCACATGGTTTTGGTTCTTGCTCCATGACACCATCTCTGTAAGTCGCCCTGAGAAGGAGAAAGAAAGGGAAAAAGAGGATGGAATAGGTTACCAACCTCAAGTCAATGAGTTTAAGTAGAAGGAATAAATTAAACAGCTGCAATTGAAAAAATACGGATGGACATGCTGCATGTCATATATTACTTGCTATTATTACCTGTAGCCATGCAACTGACCCTTCATAATGGTAGTGACTGTCATGTGACCCACATAAGTCATGCTAGCTAAGGCCTCACCTCTAAACCCCATTGACTGTATGGTCTGTAAATCTTCAAAATTGCTCAACTTGGAAGTTGTATGCCTTTCACATAATATTGGCAAATCCTCATACTAAACATGCAAAAAAACACAAAGCGAATGTCAACAAAATTATAGAGGTACATGATTGTGTGTCTGATGATGCAACAGAAGATTTAAGATGAAGATAGTAGAGCCAATGTTTCTACAGTGGTCAGGTTTGAAAATTTACCGGGATTATTTGAAATAGTAGAAACAAAATTGCAGTTAACTAGTACTTTTAATGGACTGCATTCCCTCAGAATGCAATATTAGTCTTTCCTAGTATTGGGAGAATGCCACATTTCCTACTCTTTCTTTTTTTTTTCTTTCCAAAAGATCGTCTGGTAGTTACAGTATTTATGGCATTTAATATTTGTATTCATATAACTTGCCTTTTTATGAATGAGCATCATTCATGCACTGGCCAAAAGCCACACCAAAATCCTGCATTTTCATCTTTTTCTACAAAAGTTGACTAGAACTCTTCACGGACAGAAACAACCATGTGTTGTTTGTTTAGCTGTAGCTAACAAATCAACATAAAAAAAATTGCGTAGACATAAGATCATCAGATCAACCAAAAGAATCCACCCTCTAAAATTTTCTTCTTTTTGTTTATTGCAACCCCACTGAAGATGCACAAAATTGTAGACAGCAAGTATTACACACAAAATCATTTCTTTTGAAACAATTCACCATTCAACAAGACTTGTACGATACACTCTTTAACAATGTATCAACGGCACCTTATACAAATTTGTGTCAGACGGACCTTCAAAACTTGGTCCAAACCCAATGCAACCAGTCCTTTTCCATTTCATTGACTTCTTCTTCCGATAATTGATCAAAGTTGGCCATTTTTACCCGCACAAGCTTTTCACGAACATCCATACCACACCTTTCCCTTAATAATTTCTGTTCTTTGGTGTTCTAAGCAGTAATCGTTAAAACACTTGCTACAATTATAGCCAAGTTAATCAAATGAAAGAAACTTCCTACGTCTGAATAGAAAGAATCTTTAAATACAATTACAGCTATTAGGGCTTAATAATGAAGGAGCTGGAATTTACTCGGATGCCGTGTCCGTCATCGGAAACTTGAATGAGTTTGAGTCCACCGTCCTTGACGACGACGGAGATAGATGTGGAGTCAGCATCCAAGCTATTCTCAATGAGCTCTTTCACGGCGGACACCGGCCTCTGAATAACCTCTCCGGCGGCGATTCTGTTAACTACCGACTCCTCTAGTCGCTTAATTTTCGGCGGCTCTTTATAAATTGGAGCAATCTCTTCTTCTTCAACTTCCATTTCTAGAGGTTGTTCGGTTTCAGCGCTTCCCGCTTCCATGGCCTCCTCCGAGGACTGAAAAGAATTCGTCAATAGCTTCCCCGTGAATTTTTTTTTTTTGGTGACTATCCTTAGTTTGGAGTTTGGTAAAGTTGGCGCCAAAGGCTTTGGAGCTGTTAAGTCGGCCTTGGGGCTTTTATACAGGGCGTGGACGCGGCCGGGGTTGTTTGCAAGGCCGACTATATAATTCGTAGCATTTCTATTCAGTTCATAATGTTTTCACGTTAATATTGGATTAATTTTACATACACTGTGAACTTGCAATTGTGAGTTATCCTTCTACTGTCGCCAAAGGCTTCATTTAGCGCGAGAAAATTCGGTCTTAATTAATTTAAGATGGTGATATATCGAACCCTCCCTTCTTTTTTACTAAACTGAACCTCCTCCCCAATGCAGGCTTTACAGTCATATCTGTTTGCATTACCATTAAATATACGACACATGTATAAAATTTGAATTTAAAATTTAAAATTAAAATTTGTTGATATATCATCCATCCAATCGTAATAATGTATACACTGACAGTGTATATAAAACTTACTCGTACAAAAATGTTGTCAACGAAGTAGGAGTTAATAGATTACTCATGTTGACAAAGCGAGGGTTATTAAAATTACTCAATGTCACTTTTATGCTGCGGTTATTAGTTACTGAAATTTGTGACCTACAAGTAGACACGTATTATGCAAATCTAGTTTAAATAATAATTTGTGTTTGATTTCGGAATGCAATCATATCATATCAAGTAGATTATGCATTCCAAAGGTTTCAAGGAGGAATTGCACAATAATAGGATTTACCAGAGATAGGCAATACAGTCGTCCATTAAGGATTTTCAAGACTCATTTGTCAAACTCAATAAACATAAACACTGGGGATGATCGATTTATTTCAGTGTTTGAAATCCAGAAGGCGACTCTTTAAAGTCAGGAGTCAAGGCTCTACATCCCTTCTCCGTTGGGAGTTTTGGCCCTTTTGAGTGCTGTAGGAGTTTAGAAAAGTTGGCAGTCGCTTTCCTTAATATAATGGTTGCACTGATCTGGAACAGTGCCGTTAACTTTCAGTTGGAAGCAAAGCAACTATCAATAGCAGATCCAATTTAAACTGAACGTGGCTGTTCCAGTTTGCGCTATAAATAGTTGTTTTTTTCCAGAACGAAATCACAAGGCAATCAAAAAAGCAAAGGAAGAGGGTAGGAATACAAGGGCTCTCTCTTTTTCCTTCTTTCATCGTTCTGTGTCTGCAGGTAGGAATGAACGCACGCTAAAGAGTGTACGGTTGGAGCTACACGCTAGCAATTTCTTCCAGGTTACCCCTCACAAGATAAGATAACAAGAGAAATGCCCTATTTAGCTATTCATCTACTTCAGAATTGTATGATTGCAGTACAAAGTCTTAAGAGCAACCAGATTTTACATTTCTGACTTGAACTAATTAATGCCGTTGCTTTCGATCTTCATCCTCGTCGTCATCGGAATCACCACTCTCACGAAACCGGGGATTCTTTTCCTGCAGCAGTAGATGAACATCAGATGTTTCATAGAAAGGATACTTACAGGAGCAAATGTTCAACTGCAGACGAAGTTATAACGACGATATCTGCTCCACTCATAAGACCCCACTGATATCACACATCCAAAGCAATTAAAGCTCCAGTAGACTTGGCCTCTCTACTTCCAGAGGATCTATGATGCTGAATTTATTTATCTAAACACTGATCTAATGCCACTAAAGTGATCACGGCATAGCGTAACTTACTGATTTGGTTCTAATCTTCCCTAATCTTACCAAAATCCAAGAATAAAACTTACAAGTGTGAAAGCACGGACGAGAAAACAAAGCCTAAAACAAAAGGCAACTGATAGTGTGGGGAGCATTGCCTAATGTTTATGCACTAAAAGCATAAGTAAACATAGAAGTCTGCTGTAACCACTGAGATTTGAGAGGAAAAACCACACTACTTGGTGAAAATTTGTCCAATAACCAGAACAATAAGGATCAAGGTTATGAAGTTCAACACCATTTGGTTAGATCTTCCGCAGGATACACTAGTAACTTGGATAATTAAAACTGCTGGTTGATTTGATACAAAGGATGACCTCCTCTTATCATAATATTTGAGCACACATTCCACACATGTTTGTAGAATCTCTTCATTCTTAAAGAAACAAAGTGATTAAAAATCTAAAATTGAAAATAACAATAGGAAAAATAAAAAGAAAAGAAAAGTTTACCGGTCTAGAGTCATGATCAGAACCTCTCCTAGATTCATGGTCAAAATTTCTCTTTGAAAACTCTGGTCCACGACGGTCATCTTCACGATATCGCTTGCGATGGTAATCTTCTCCAGAAAAAACAAAGACAAAAATCATTACGAATATAGCTATCGATCTTAGCAGGAAGCAAAAAACTATTGTCCAAGAATGCTACCTCGACCATGTCGATGAGAACCCCCATAACCATGGTGTCCACCATGCCTACCATCTACAGGAGTTAATAGGTTAGCAACAATACAATTACAGGAAACAGACAGGGAAATCAACAAAATTCTCATTGGTCAAGCTTTTAGGAATCAAGTGCATTCAAACTTCATATATTAGAAGATAAAGGGCTTTCTTTCTGATATCAGATAACGAAAGTTTTGTATTAGCACTAATTTCATAGTTAAGTCCAGCCTCCCATTTTACTTAGAAAAAATGAATGCTTATGACTAAACAATAAAACAAATTCAGAAGCAACTTCACTAGATACCAAAGAAGAACAGGGGAATGTCATGCTTAAACGTCTTAAATGAATTTCAAAATGCCATAGATATCATGCACTACTTATTACGAAATCTTTATACACTAAAGAACTCATTTAGAATTAATAGCTCTTCAACTGAATTATATCGTCTTCAAAGAAAAACCTTTCAAGTATAGTTGCTTGCTTTTTAGTTCAAATTTGAGATGATTACTGAATGGATGAATTCCACAATCAAGAAAACTCTTGTAGATTATAACATGTATATGAATCAGTTCTGTATAACAAACCAACATAGATCAGGTATCTACCAGCTGAAAGAGAAAAGCAAAGCATGTAAATTACTCCTAACTTACATTGAGGTGGCATGACAGGTGGAAAAGAGCCTAGTGATCCTGCGCCTATTGATCCTGCATTGTAGTCCACCAGCTGTCTTTGTGCCTCCAACTCTCTCTGAACCAATTTTCCATAACCACCTCTAGGTACTGCTAGTTAAGGGAATTTGGATATGCAAAAAATAGGCTTGTCAAATGATAATCAAAGTAAACTGAGCTGCAGTACTATATATAAAACACCGCAATTATTATGATTCAGCTAAATCCACATAGGGCTATAGACTTCATAGACATCAATAAATGCATTATGACTGCATTAACAGTTAATGGGAAGTTAAAGCCAATTAAACATTCCCATCTTGAAATCAACGGAGACAAAAGGAGAAGCCTCAGCGTTGGAATGAATAGAATAAATGACTAATAATTAAAAAGCCAAAAGCATTGCTTTTGAATAAGCAAAGACATTATTTGCATGGTAGGCAATTTTAAATCACGACATCTAACAAAAATCACCAAATCAACGAGCCAGCATATGCATATATTTGAAATCTGAAGGCAAAAGCACAATGAATGTTTCCCATCAAGACATTCTAATGAAAAACAGCCAAAACAAGTGTCTCTCCATAAGGTATATGATACGAATTTTATAAGCACACAAAAGGATCCAGAGATAAACCACGTCACAGCTACTGATGTTTAGCAAACAAATTTAACTGCTGCACATTTATTGTACTGAAGTGCTAGTCAAACTTATCAAGGCAAGTTTTGCAATTGCTTGTCCACTGAAAACATTAGAATCTCACCTAAGATAGAAGGGCAGAAAAAAAACAATATATATACATGATCTCCAGCCAGAAAAAGGCCAGGCTATTGAATTTATCAACCATTTGTCCACCTCGAAAGTGACCCTTCGATACCAAGGAACTGGAAACAAAAGTAAATATGTAGAGATCAAAGAGGACTACAAACTCGGGATGATTGCAAAAACATTATCATCCTTGACATAGACAGATAAAACCTTCAATGAAATTGGCAAATTCGGCAATGCTGGCCCACTTATAATAAGAAATACCAAACGATAACCCTTATATGAATATTTCGGCCATATCTTTGAACTTGAAGCCTGTTCAACTTTTCCTCTATACATGTCTGAATAACTTTCCTTCAGTCTAATAAGTTGCAGTATCTCAAAGGAAAAAAGGGGAAAAGTACTTAAAAATACCTTCTTACCTGAATAGACAGTTTTTGTTACTAATAAACATGCTAATTTAGATTCTTCATAGTATCTCCAAGGCTATGATCAATTGATTCTTTGCAACTCTACAGAGTGCCTTGACACTATGACATGACACCAGGGAAAATTAAAAACTTGTTATTTATTAGGTTCAAGCAAAGAGACTCCAGATTTGGTGTCCATGAGACTATCCTGGCAATGAGTCATAACTTGTACAATTTTGAACTTTTTCCTTCTCTTCTTCCTTTTTCTGTTTTAGCTTTCTTTTTTTTGATGGAGAGGTAATACTTGATCTATTCCAGACAAATCTGTAGCTTTCCAAGACATGATTGACAGGTAAACTGAATTACAGCAGAAAAGAAAAATTCAAGGCAAAAGCACACAAAGTACCTTCAGCATGCCAGACTTACAATAGTTAAACCTATTGGGACAAAAAATAAATAAGGATAAAGGAAAATTGAAAGGATATCTGCATCATAATCAGTACGATATTCATCCCGTACCTGAGCAAGAGAATAATAATGATATTAACGCAGATTCAAGGAATCTCATCAAATAAAAGAGTTTAAAGAAGCACGGAGGAGAAGAGGGGGGCAGCATATTACTTGTCCACCACTTCGGCCACGGCCCCACTGCCTTCCCTCTTGAAAACCCCAATCAAAATCTACACGAATAGGTCGATCATCAAGAATTGTCCCACTTATGTATTTAACAGAGTCTTCAGCATCTTCTCTGGAGTAGAACCTGGAGAGTGCAAGTTTTGGGTATTTAGAATATGACCACATTAATCTTTTCTTTTTCCT